GGGAATAGCCACATGTCATTAATCTGCCTCTTTATAGGCTACAAAAAATTTCAAGTTTTCATGAAGGCCTTAGTGCATGCTGCACAACGTGGCTTGTTTGCTGTAGCTGACGCAATATACTATGGGGGAATTTATCAAAACTGGAGCAGACAAAATCTGGAGCAGCTGTGCGTGGCAACCAATCAGCTTCTCTCTTCAGTTTGTTCAGTTAAGAAAATGAAAGAGGCTGATTGGTCGCCATGCACAGCTGCTCCAGATTCTGTCTGCTCCAATTTTGATAAATTCCCTTCTTCAGCTTTAAATGCAGGGCAAGAATGATCAGACTTTCGTTCTGCATCTAAGGGTTAGTTCACACCATCAGCAGTGCGTTCCGGTCCGATTCCGGACCGGAACGCACTGCCCACATTGCGGCCGGCTCTCTTTTTTGCTGGACAGGAGGGGGCGTGGCGGGCCATTGAAGTGAATGGTCGTGCAGCCGCAATGGGGCGTTGAAAATAGTGCTTGCAGCATTTTGAACGCACCGCACGGAACGCACTGCAGGCACAATGTGCCCTGAGGTTGCCAAGCGGGCGATAGCATTGCAGCAGCAGGGTGTGGCTACGGTGCCTTTCACTTCAATGGCCCGCCACGTCCCCTTCTGCCCAGCAAAATAGGGAGCCGGCTGCAATGTGGGCAGTGCGTTGCGGTATCGGACCAGAATGCGCTGCTGATGGTGTGAACTAACCATTAATGTTGCGGTAATAACATTTACTCATCAAAGCCTTGTTCACAAAATGATGTAGTTTACTAAACACAAAGTATATTTAGCGGTTTCAGTTCACGGCTATAAAAACTAGAACTTACCTAAATAATTTACTATATTCAAATGTGTCTAGCTCCAGGGTTGTATATACCAGGGCGGGGGAAGTGCCTAGGGAAGCAGGGTTAGAGGGGGGGAACCCCAAGAAAACACTTACAACTGTAATCAGGTTTTGCTTATTCTATTTGCTGTTGCTGCCCACCTCTGGACATTCTGTGGCTGAACTACAAAGGCTTTTTATAGGTTAAAACGTGAAATCATTTGTTTTTTTCCTTATTCGGTGATTTATACAGTGGAAAAGGTAGACCTGTGTATGATATAAAGCTGAGCCCATGCTACCTACAACTGCACATTCTGGTAGTAGTTTTTTTAAAGTAATCATGACACAGGAGGTGGGGTCATTACGGTGGTCCTACGACTAAATATAACTCTGACCAGAACAAGAAAAATGTTTTACTTTGTACTATTTAATATAGTATTTTTTTACCATTCTTGCTTCCCCTAGGACCTGTTAAATCAGTGGCCTCAGCAAGACCGATTCATTTTTTTGTGCATTAAGGTGTGCTGTCAGTCCAATCAATAGGCTGACTTAATGAATGGTAATGCATTAATCCAACACATAATTTGAAGGAGGCCTTAAGGTCTAGCCTCTGGCGCAGATAATCCAAGTTTTATTAGGTTTAGCTATATGTAAGGATATATATATATATA